GCAGAGCAGAGCCGAGAGGGTGCGAGGGTCTATCCACAATGGATCTAGAACCTGCCACAGCCGCTCTTGGGTCATGATTTCTCTCCCAGTCCTTCCTGTTCTGGTCCAGCTACAGCCACCTGAGTCTCCCACCTAAGGAGGGCTGATGAACGAAGACTATGTGATTGCCTGCTGTGCAAGATCAGCTCTGAAGCAGAGTTGCATTAACAGAGTCCAGGAATGGACTTTTTAGACCATGGACTTTGAAAGGGTCTGCCTGCTGGAGAAGCACTGTGGGTTGGGCTGCAAAGCAGCATGCTCAGCTCACACTGGGTTTGGGGGAAGTGGTGTCTCCCCAGATTGTCTCTCCAAGCCACTGGCTGCGGCTGTACCTGGCTACACACAGGGGACAGAGCTGATTAGCAAAGCCGAATGTTTGCAAAACCTAGGTATGAGCTATCCCTACTGTATCCATGTCTAATAATTGATTAGCACTTAAACCCATTAACTAGAGGTGCTAAGCCATCATCTCTCTCCCTCAGGCGCAGCTTGGGCAGCCCTTTGAGCCTGGGACAACATAGCTCTGCTCGTCCTGGGGAACCTCATGCAGGGAGTGAAATTGCACTTATTGGAGAAGAGGGAGTTCAGGAGAACCAAGAGTACGAAGGTGCACGCAGGACACAGTGACTCTGGAAAGGCAGCACGGAAGAAGCTATCTGAAAATGCCTTTAACAATTATGACTTCTCTGTGTCATTTTCAAGCCAAGCCCCTTCGAAAAGCATTTTGGTAACCCAGATCAGGGGGTGAGCACTTTTGGAAGATCCTCTCTGATGGACCCAGTATCCCATCTGCTCTCCAGTTTCTAAGCCATCCTTCCAGCCAGCACAAGGCAAAGGAGCTGAACCATGCACCCTTGCCAGCCTCAGGATCTGCCCCTTGCCATGGGTGCTCCCCACTCATTATCCTCAAAAGTACAGAAAGGAGGGACTGGAAAAAAACAAAACAAACAAAAAAAAAACCCACACTTTTCTCAACCCACAAGGGTTGCAAGCCTACAGGGAAGGAATAGGAGATGTCTCTGAAAATTCATTACCAAGACACGCAATGTTGCCATATCTGGAGAGATGCTGGCTCTGCTCCAAGAAGTAGAGTTGCAGAGCTTGTAAGGAAGCTGCATCCAGGGTAATCCTTATTCGCTGGTGGAAACGTCTTGTTTGGGGACCGAAAGCCAGTGATCATGCTGCTGCCACGTTACCTTGCCTGTTTACAGACATGTCCCATGGGATTATTCCTGTGGCAGCAGGGAGGGAGCTCGGGAAAGATGCAAGACCTCACAGAGAAATTGGGTGCCAACTGGAAAGGCGAGGAGGATCCTCCCTGTTCGGCCAGTACAGAGACCAAAGAGAGCCAAACCACTGAAAGTGGATGTTACCAACCTCTCTCCACTGACTGTGGATACGTGGTCTTCATTGCTCCTTCTCAGCCTTAACCTTCAGTGCTGTCATTCACACCGACCTCCCTCTGTCCACACTGGGCTGGGAGCAGCCTGCAGCTGGCCCTTTTTGGTAACCTTGAGTCTTGAAAGCCACACAGCAGCTTTGGCCCTGCCTGGTGCTGTCCCAGGGCTCCCAGTCAGGAGCGTTTACTGGTTCAGGTCCACTGGTGTCTCCGTCGTTTGGACCCCTGCACCCTGCCCACCTCCGTGCCAGGGAGAGAGCCATTAAACCAACAGAGCGATGCTGCTCTTGGCTCTCCGGGGGCATGGGCTTAGGTGGCATTGCCTCTTCTGGGACAAGCTCCTCCAGGCTTGAATGTTAAAATGTGAACAGAGAAACCCTGTCCAGCATTTTCTGTGTGGGCAGGGAAAAACCCCACCCGAGCTCTTCTGGGGCTTGGCTTTACATAGCATTCAGTCCTGGGATGCCTGGAGATTCCCCCCTCCTCTTTTCAAACCCTGCTGATAAAGAATCAGGGTCCTGGGGCTGCTTTCTCCTAAGCTGGGATAAACCTCTCTGCCCAGCCCTTGAAAAGACCCCATGCTTTTGCATGACTCTGGTTTAAACAATAATCCATTAAAAATCCAAACATAAATTCTGCCAGAGCTCTGTTACAACCCGTCTGTGACATTGCTGCATTGGGAAAACGCTTCTGCATTGTGGTATCCCTTTCTGGAGCACCCTTGGAAACCTGCCGGGAGCAGCAGCCGGTGCTGCCAATCCTGGTGTCAGCAGCTGCCAGCAGCTGGAAAACCCCACTGGAAAACCTGGCTTGGCCGCCTCCATCAAACGGGAGGAGAGGGCATGCGGGTCAGGCTGGCTGGCTGTCCATCCGACCTTGGCACGCTGCTTTCTACATGCGGTACTGTGAGCTGGAGCACTTCATGCCTGTGCTCTGGGAAAAGCAGGAGTAGGCATCTGAAGGAGACGGGAGCTACTGAGCACTCCAGGTTTCCCCTCCATGGCGCGCCGGGTGCCAGCAGCCCTGTGCTGTGGGATGTGGTCCAGCTCCCTTTCCTGCTTGCCAGGGCCTGCAGGCAGACTCAGCTTTGACCTCAGATTGCTGGTTTGCAGCAGGGAAAACACCAGATTTTGTCCTCAGGGAACTGAGAACAGAGGGGAAAATCCCTTTTCCTACAGCACTCCAAGTAGGAGTCTGAACATCTTGGACAAAACCAGTCCCTGTGCATCAGTCTCCCCACTTGTAAGAGAAAGACCATGTTCTTGTTCTTCCCTGGAGGCTGTTGAGAGGGTTATTAAAATCCACCCCAACCTCCCGCACAAAAACAGACCCGAAATAATAGATTTTCCCATTCCAAAAATTATTGTATTAGGACAATGATTGGAAGTGCTCCACCACTGCGGAGCTGGCCTCGCTTCCCGCACCCTCGCAGAGGGGAACACAAGTCCTGCAGCCGAGTCGGACCAAAGGATGACCTGTGCAGATGTTAGCCAGGATCCCACGCCGGGCAAGCGTGCAGGACTCAGACGAGCCTGTTCTTCTTCAAGACGAGCATCTCCACCTCCTTCATGAATCGGAGGCACAGCTCCTCCTGCCACGGCAAGGCCACGCACTGCACGGCCACCGGCAGCCCCACACTGCCACGAAAAGCCTGTGGCACAAACAGAGCAGGAGAGGGCAAGGGGACATCCAGAGGAAGGGAAGAGGATGCTCGCACTCCTGGGCAACCTGGCACCACTCACCTTTGCCAGAGTCCGATCCCACCAGTCCCGAAAGTACCCCTGATAGCCCTTCAGCTCCTCCTCATCCTCGTCCGTCACCATTGTGACAGGGACCACACCAGCGGGGAAGTCCAAGGCATTGTAGATCATGGTGTAGCTGACTGCCACTGGAAGAGAGGGGGAGCTCGCAGCGCCAGCTTGCCCCAGGGAAAGCCTTCATCCCGCTCCGAAGCTTCCAGCAAACGAGGCACTTGCACTGGGAACTCAAGGGCTACGGGATGGAAACCTGCCCCTTAGGCTCCCACACGCACCTGGGGAGGTTGTCCTGGGTGTACCCCATGGGCTGGGGCTGCTGCTGCCCCAAGAGCTGAGCTCTTCCCACTGCTGGCCAGTGCCTCGGGGATGTGAGGGGGGAAGGAGGAGGAGGAGGAGGGATGCTTCTCACTGATACTGGTGGAGTGCCGCAGCAGGGACGCACGGGAGGCAAAGGTCCTCCCTGCTGGCAGTCCTACCTGAGAGCTTCTCCGGGTAGCCGATGCTGAGAGCCGGGCCCAGCATGGGACAAAGCATGACATCCAGGTTCAGCGTTTTCCACTCGGCGATGAACTGGTGGCAAAACTCCTGAGGAGGAAACACGCTGGTGGTCAGTGGGGTGGCTGCAGTGCCCTGTGGCCGCTGGCTGAGGCTCTCCTTGGGTGCCCAGCCAGGCTCGCAGCCCTTCCCCAGAAGCCGCCATCAGGCTACATCAGGCATGAACCCGCTAAACTCCAGCAACCCTTTGCTGCTTGGCCAACAGCCCTCCCAGGTACAAAGCACACTCTCCCCTGCTAAAACTGGAGGTGGGGAAAGACTGAGTGTGGGGGCACACGGCAACCTCAGACACAGGTACAGGTCCTGAGGAAACCAGAATGGAAATAATAGCTGATGGCCTATGTTTTCAAGCGTGGGAGTAAAAAATACAGGTCTGATCCAGGATCATGAATGTGTCTACGTGTCGTCCTCATCTTTAAAAGTGCTGAGAACTTGCACATCCAAGTAAGGTCTGTTAGGGAGTTACGTATGTTTCTACCTCGCATCCCCGGTGATACAATCATCTCCTAACCTTGCTGGGAACTGAATCTGCCTCTTCCCAAAGAGAAATAAAAACTATCTAACCCTAAACTGCAATACTTTACCTCAATTTCATGATGAAGACTCCAGACTTCACCCGCTGTGCTGAAAAAGGAAACAAAACCAATGAAAGGCATCAAGAGGTACTGCAAAGAGCAGCTTTAGGGGCAGGGAAGAGCATCAAAAAGCAGATAAGCACAGGTTAGCTCTGCTCCTGGAGCAGCAGCCAAGAGAAGAGAAGACTTTGGCAGAGTCCTGGTTTTTCTCTGAAGGGCTGGGAGTCTCATTTCTGCTTCTGCCCATGATGGAGGGCTGAAGGCTAAAGGCAGATTGGTGCAGTGCTGCTTTGGCCTGACAAGCGTCCAGCCCTGTCACTGCCGCTGTGCCGAGGAGGTGGAAGCCCAGGCACACCACTTCTCAAAGGCCAGGCTGTGCCAGGTGGACTGATCCTTTGACGTGGGGACAGACGTACTGCCTTGGAGGCACAGCACAAAATAAATCCTGTAGCGAAGAGGGTGTAAGTCCTTTCTCGCCACTAACTGCCCAACGCTGACATCGCAGCAAGGAAGAGCAAGCCTCCTTCCCTGGGCATTTATCCTCCTTCTGTCTTATGGGATCTCCACCTCACGGCACGATGGATGCGTTAACCTGAGCTGAAGCCAACACTGACTTCATTCCCACTAGCTTCATCCAGTTCCTAAGCAAGAGGCTGTGATCCCCTGTCCTCATTCCCATCCTCAGGACTAGAACAGTTTGCCAGACCCTGCAGGGTTATGGTTTTGCTCCCACCCTTGTGTTTTCTGCCTTGTATGTTCTCAGACGCCTGCGGCTGGGGCAGTATCCCTAACGTAGCAAACACTGCTGCTCTCCAAAAGAGAACCCCAAATCTTCACACATCTGCTCAGGCTTAGATTTACTCACTTGATTCTCATACTTCTTATGATATCTGATAATCGAGGCACCTGAGAGGGAGAAAGTAAAAAACAAAGAAAATAATTTACATTAATGCAAGCCCTGTCCTCTGAGACAGCTCCATCACAAATACAAGCTGTTGACTCAGTGCTCAGGCAGGACTCATGGATTTTCCCCAAACTGGGGAGAGGATGGATAGAAATAGCATCACTCCAGTTTGGAGATGTGTCTAAGCACAGCCAGGAGGCAATGTCTAGAGACTTCTCTACAATAAGGCCTTACTGCAATGGGAGACAAGTTATTCACCACCTATTGCCCAACTCCACCTATATTAGAAAGAAATGGACCTTACGAAGGGTTTGGCAATCCAGGAGAGGACAGTTTTTAGCCAGTTTGGCGACATCCCCAACCACAAGAACAGTCCCTTGCCGCTTTTCTCCAGCTCCCCTTTGCTGAAAAAGAAAGGGGTGTTTAGCTGAGCGGTGTTGGGAAGCAATCACAGTAGATCAGCTCTCACAAGGCCAACCCCTCTGAATAGTGTATCTAAGAGACAAAAAGAGGTTGGCTCCATTCCTCTGGGCTCCTCTGATTGTCACAGTATGTATAGGATATTGTATAAATGTATAAGCTGTTACACTCCCAAAGAGACCCAAGGTTCAGCTGAATCACTTGATGGTAAGCTCCCCAATAAATCCCAGTGCATACCAGCCACTCTCTACACCCAGTAGATCGCTACCTGTATCCAGATTCTAGCTAGACCCAAGGGAGGATTTTCATGGAAAAGCGTCAATTGCACCAAACCATTCCAGGCTGTACTTACAACTTCTTGAGAAAGGATGCACCCCCGTCTCCAAACATTCCCTTGACGCAGAAGTTAAAGATCATGTAGTCAACGTTTGTGAGTTTGAAGGGCACCAGCTGGAAGGGCAATGGAAAAGGAGTGAGTGGCACAAGCAAGCTCCGTGGAAGAAGCCATAGAGGGCTCACAATGGGCCGAGCTGGGCTGAGGATTTCCTGACAAGCCCTCAGGAAAGCCTCCAGCATCTGAGGCCACCAGGTCCTCCCCATCCCATTCATCCTACTCTGAATACGCCGTTTTCCCTTTAAGCAACAACTGATAAGTCAAAAGATACAGGATGGGCTTGGCCCCCTGATGTCCAAGCAGCCCCAAGGCACAAAATGCCCTCCAAAACTGGCAGTGAGTGACAGATAGTATGAGTCTGTGCTCCTCACTTCATTCCTGATCCTTGTGCAAGGGTAAGGGAGAGATGTGCAGCCACAACCATGCCTCACACACAGCAGATGACTTGCTGAAATGACAAAGAGGAAGAAGGAGACAACCTCTGCTCAGCACCCCAGAAACCCAAGACCCTAGGAATGGGTCTGGAGCAATATGGGACTGCTTGGATATAAAAGATCTGCTATTTGCAACTATTCTTTTATTTTCTACTTAGATCCTTGTTTCCAGATACAAAAACACGTGGTGGCTTTCCATGCAAAATGCAGCAGATCTGTGGAACTGCTTGCCAAAGGATATGATGCAGAAGAGGTGAAATTGGCTTGAGAATAGACTAAACAAGTACTTGGACCACCGATCTTCAATGTTTGTGACAAGCTGTTGTCCATCAGGCTCAGGAAATACACTGAGCTGACAGTAATGATACACCAGCAGGACTGTAAGCTCCCTGCGGGCACTGCCTCAGGACCTGGGTCATACAGCACCTAGCACAATGCAGATCTCAGCCACAGTGTGAGTAAATGCACCCACACTACAGACTAAGTCATACGGCAGTGTGTCTACTCCCTAGCACGTGTTATGGATTGGGGTAGGCTCCCTTTTGTGTCCACCAGCACCTAAAGAGCACTGAGATCCTGCTGAGAGGAGAAATCAAGTTGCAATATAAAGAATTTCTCTTTTTCAGAAGCAGCTATCCACTTTCATTAAAGCTGCAGGAAGCTGAGTGGATTCCAGGCCCCCTCTCCTTGCCAAATTTGCATGATGTTCACCCATGGGTCCCAAAAACAGGGTAGGAAGGAAGAATAGATGCAGCATGACTATTGGCTTCATGCAACATCCTACCGTGTGGCCAGCATCCTCCAACAGCTGCTTTGTCTCCCGAACGGCGCGTCTCATGGCAGGGCTCGGCATGGTGAAGAAATCGGTTTCATAGTAGCCTATGCGGAGGGGCTGCGTGCTGGAATACACCTGCAGAGCAAGGGAGAGTGCCAGCTGGAAGGACGGCAGCAGCGTCAAGAGCCAACAGTACACCCATGCCACAGGGCAAGTCTGGAAAGCAGCACTTCTCTCGCCCATGTGCCCACCCACAGCATGTGGCAGGTCAGAACAGGTCCCGGAGGGCTCCCATGAGCCACTGGCATTTTCAGCCTCAGTAATGGCATCTCTTCTCTGAGACCTTCACCCCCTTTGTGGTCCTTTACCTCTTCATTGAAGGGAAGGGGGGGCACTGTGCTGTCCAGGCTGAACATGTCCTCGCACAGGAGCGCCCGCATGCACAGCGCCAGGCTCTCCACATCTTTTGCCATTGGCCCCACTGCTGCGACCACTGGAAGAGACCAGAAGAGAGCGTTGGTGGCTGAGGGTCTTTCAAGGACATGTCCTGTGAAAGCAGGACCTCTTGGCATCCTTTTGACTTAGTCTAGTGCTGGCAACGGTTCCTCTTTGAGAATTGGGCAGGGGATGCCTGCAGGGGGCTTCCCACCAGCAGGCCCATTGGTGGACCCAGAGTTGTTATCCATCAATATGTGCCCCAATGTCTCCATTTCATGATTTACAAAATTAAACAAAAGGCTTTGTCCATCACGACACAAGGACAACTCCTTTGACTGCTAATCCCACCTCCCACAGAGCTGTGGCACAAATGCAGCAACCTGGGGATTACAGGGTGTGTTGAGGTTTATGTGTTACACAAACTGCTCCTCTTGGCTCACACACATTCCAGTTTCTCAGGAATCATGGTATGGGGGTGGTTCTCTGAACGACTCCCTGCAAGGGAACCTGTTTCTCTCTCTGAACAGGTTGGAGAAGGTCCCCTTTAACCAGGGGTCTTTCTCACCCCTGCCCTACTGCCCTCCCAGGGGGACAGCCATCAATTCCTACCTGCCTTCTGCCCAAGGACACCAGAAATTACTCCTTTTTTGCTGCGAAGAAGAGAGAGACACAAAATACAGCAGCTGAGTAGTTTTCATTGAAGGGAAAGGCTCTAAGCAGTAGCAAGTGGTAAGGAAAATGCTGCCTTCCCTTTGCAGATGCAGCAGTTGGCAGAAGGAAGGGCCAAGGGGAAGCCCAAGAGAGATTCAACCTCGGCCAGAATGATTTATGCCCTGTCAGTCAGGAGCAACCACCTTATTAGCATGCAGACGGAGAGGTTTCCCTGTCTCCGTTCTGGGGAAACTGATGCTTCCCTCCATACAGGCCCCAGAAAACATCAGGGTAGGAGGGAGAAACGAGCCCTTCCCATTTCCTCCCAAGTTTCCCCTTGCTCACAGGAGTAGGAGCACCCCAGCACAGCAGTCAGTAGGATAGCTGGTGGATCTCATCCAGAGACATCACTGCATCACTCACAGTACCTGAGTCTGTTCCCAGTGGGTTTAAGCGCACAGATCCCACAGAAGGCAGCGGGGAAACGCAGGCTCCCTCCTACGTCCGTCCCAAAGCCCAAGATGGACCCACCTCCTCCTATAAGTGCCCCTTCTCCACCAGAGGAGCCTCCAGGGCTTCTGGTGTAGAGCAGAGGGTTGAACGTCTGACCAAAGATTAAGTTCTTGCAGTCATAGCTAGAGAGAGAGAGATTGCAAATGAGAGGAATGTAGATATTGGCTGATGTGGACTCCAAAATTAAAAAGAAAAACAAAAAAATATTTAAAACTACCCAGCGCAGCAAAGAAGGGCAGTGATTTCTCTCCTCTTCTCCTTCTTTATTTCATTTGGGACTAGAGTTAATTTTCATCCTTAGGGTAAACGTGCTTTACTTTTTTAAGTAAAACTTAAAGACACTAAGGATGGGGACCAGGTGTTATTTAAAAAAAAGTGGGAAATGAGAATTAGACTTGACAGAAACCCTCACTTGAGAGGAGGGAAGGAGGGAAGGAAGGAGGGAGGGAGGGA